CTAAACTAATGTCAAAGGGTAATGACAGCCTAATTGGCTTGGCTTGTTTGGCACATCATAAATGATTTTACAATGGTTCTTAGCAGATGAAGAGTCGGAAAACAAATTTATGCAAGTTGTGGAGGAATTACTATAAAACAGTAAAACACAGCCTGTTAAGGCCTTCCTAAAATTTTTTCCTTATTCTACCATCTGTAACATTACATTTCAGAAGACATCTCTCTGAGCTGTAAATGCTATTTGTCTGATGGACAAGCCTCTTTCTCCTACACTTACATTTCAACGAACATCCTGGTATACCACAGTGGTTAAAAATGCTGTTCTTCAAGGAGTGAGTTAACTTTTCTAAGCACTAAAAACATTATAGATTATAGAGGATCCATTCATTTGTTTCTTAAGGATTTAGCATTAAACAAAGAAAGGACCACTGCAACCTCTATGAGATAATTTTCCGTGAAGCAAAAACTTGTGTAACATAAAGAGCAGTGACCTGTCCCTCTAACTTGCTGATGATGCAGGACAAGTTCCATGTACTGAGTGCTTACTTTTCTAGATGTAACCTATACAAAAACTTAAGGATTTTGTTAAAATCTCTGAAACTGAAAAGGACATAAACAAAAAGGGTATTAACAGCAGTAACACAGATTGTTGAAGCAGAGCTAGAGGTAATATTGTTGCCAAGGAACAACTGGCACACAGAGTCAAACACAAGCTATACGTGCCTCAAAAATAAAAGAATAAGCAATCAGTGTTACTTTATCTGTATCCTTTGAGAGATAATACATTCCGTGTAACCACTGGCTCCCTTGTACATTTTTTTTACTGTGTAAAAGATTCAGAAGTACCTTTATTGACAGGACATCCTAGATTATCTTCAAAACTGTTTTGCTACGGAAGACTGGAAAAACAGTGTGAAATGCACAGGCAGAGCAAAGGAAGAAAGTGGACATATATGCTGTAAACTTCCTCACTAATGGATCTTTTCTGGTGACCTAAGACAACGGGGTTCCTTTTCATGACTCAGTAGCCCTTCTGATGTACTCTCAGGAGACATTAAGGAGAAGACAGTATTGTCAGATATCACATATTGCCATATACAATGGCTGAGAGGTTTTTTCCATTAAAGGCAGACAGCGTCATACCACTCTGTACAACCTTCCCAGAAAAGGAAGACCAATTTGTTTTTCTTCATTTTCAGCCATTTTCTGTGTCCCAGGGGAGTTCTAACTAAACAGAGGGAGAAATTAGCTAGAGAAAAGATTGGAAATGAGAGTGACAGCTAAATACTAATTGCATTCAGCATAAATAAAAAAGCTAACTGTAATCTCAAGATAAAGATCTGGCACTGATGGATTTTGGCACAGAAAATCTTCTGTCCTAATGGTTGCTTATACCACTTCAAGCATGTGTTAAATAATAGCAGTCATTAAAAAAACTGCATTCAATTAAGACAAAATTTATTTACCTTAAAATATCAGTTGATGACAACTGAAATCTATAGTTACAATACACTGACTTTAACTAATAGTTTTCTTGTGTAGCAAACTGTGTCCCCAAGCCTTACAGCTAGCAGGGTCATTTTAAGGGCATTTAATTTAAAGAATTCGGGAAGAAGTCCTTTTCGGACAATACACTTATAAGTCTGTAATCCATGTACAATCGATGAAAAATAATTTTGTTTTTCTTAAAATCCAATCATTTTTTCCCAAAAAATTGATCTGTAAAATTCTAATTTTATTTGGTGATCTTTGGGGAATCTTTAACAAGTTGATTGCTTTACTTTTGTATTCACTGTTCATGTTAGATCAAGAACAGTTCTTCTTTATTTCATTTCTATAACCTTACAATTTTTATCAAGTGTTGCTAGGATTGTTATTTTGTCAAGGTGATAACAAAACAGTAAAAAGGGATGGATAGATGTAAATTTCATTTTGCCTTTAAGTTTACTGTTATTCTGGATATATCCATTTGAGAATGTCAGATAGTCTTAAAAGCACAGAAAAAAATAATCAATTTGACTGAACATAGAAATTGTTTCTAATATTCTGATACTCTTACGTATGTCTAATAGCTCAACAGCCAGGAGGAAACAATCTTCTTGAAATTAATATTGTTTATCATCTACTACGAAAATCCACAGTGTATCTCAAGCTATTACCTTTTGTGCTTCAGTTTTATGTTTAAATTAGAATTTAATTATTCAAAAGGACTATTTAAACAAATTGAGCTCCTGAGGTTGAGACTTGCCCATGAGATAAACAAGTGGTTACTTTCAATTTGAAATTGGTACATGGCATACATGACATTCAGAAGGCAGTAAAATCTGCCACTACACAATCATTACAGAACTGTGGATAGAGAGAAAGAAAGAAAAGGATATAATTTGAGTAGCCTCCAACTTTATTAATTTAACTCATCTGAGAACTATACAGCAATAACGCTTCCAATGAAGGTCATAATTATTCTTTAATTGTTTCCACCTGCTACAGTACTGCCGTCAAACCCCTCCTCTTCTCCACCTCTCTGTACCTGGCTCAGCCCATCACTCATACTTTCGCAGTCTATCCTTGTATTAGCATTAAGGTACAACGGCAGAGAAGTTTGGGCTATTTTGTTGTGTCAGAATGCAGAATTTCCAGCTTTGCTTCCTCCATTGCTGAATGCTTTCCCTGTACTCAGTCCCTATTTCTGTTTATACTTTCTGAGGCTTAATTTCTGCCCTGCTCCTGCTACAGTCTGACATGCTGAACTTTTCCTTATAACCTGAAATTCTGCAAAGTTGAAAATTGCTAACAACCTTTGACTTTTCTAATTCCTTCTCCCCTTTTCTGCTCCTTCCATATCCTTCCCCATACAGCAAAAAAATCCATCCCAAAAAGATTTCTCAAACAAGTAATGAAACTCCTTTAGCAGACAGAAATCTTCATAAGCAAATTAATGTACAAACTAGAACGTTAAGGCCTACTAACTCAAGCATTCAAAGACACACAGACTACAGTCAAGATCTGTATACTTAAGTAAACTTCATCACTCAGCATGCTAACCCAAGCAATGTCTTGCCATGTTCCTAGGTACTCTGAAGAGAAAAAGGGAACTGCAGGACCCTTGAAGAAATTGATATGGACATCTCCTTGTTCCTTTCCCAAAATGTTCCTTTCATGATTGCAGCAACTTCATCTTGGAGAATCAAGACTCTAAACATGAAATCTGTAAACACTCTGTTACTGGTCATTTTTCTCCAACAGAGTTCCACCTTGTTTCCTCATTAGGATGTGGATCGTGAATAGAGTTTCAACTTTGGAACATATATGCAGTTTACACACTAGTAAGCAGACAAACTGTATAGTAAATATGTAGTGTTAATGTAGTAAGCAGTAAACATTTTTGGAGAAAATAACTTGTATTTTCAATCAGAATACGTAATGGTGGTGAACCTGTTTATCTAAGAACATAGACTTGGCTAGACAGGAAATTTTGTACTACTGGGATAGCATTTCACTATTTATAGATTTGCATCTAAAATAAATGATAATATTTTCTATTGCTCTTGAGGTGGATGACATGAGATTGAAATAGGTATTTCAATATCCTGTTTAATGTCAAGTTAGAAAATCAGATTCTTCCTTAACCTTTGAGTTTTAGTCATAAAAAGACTGATGGTTCAGGACCTTCCAGTGTTTGAAGATATACCATCTATTCAAATGGATAGGGCCAACAGCCACAGCGCTGGCAAAATCCTTTGCCATTTGTGCGAAAAATATTTCCTGCTCACTGCGTTGTGAAGGTAGCTCCATAATTTTGAAATAATTAATGTAAAGCTATTTGTACATATTTTTTCAGTTATGTCAAAGAAAGTGAAATCCTGGGTAGCATTGCAAATAGATTTATCTAGAATGACAGACTGCATAAAAGGAAGACATATAAGGGACAAATGTGTCCTATCAGAAAGGACAAAAAAAAAACTCCACTGAAGTGGGAGCTTAATGTTTTGGGAAAAATTCATTGCACTTCCCTTGTACTTACACTATTACTGAAAGGAAAAGTGTTATCTATTCACATGAAAGACCCTTTTTCTCTACCTATATGTTGAAGTAAAAAAGAATCATATTTTATATTTACAAAACAAAGATCCTACACTTCCTATTGCTTAAGCAAATTTGACACACCAGTAGATCAAAATAATAGGTTATCCTGTGCTTGTTTCTGGAAGCACCAGTTTTGCACAGCACCACCTGTCAGCAAATTGGCTTAAGATTTAAGAGACTGAATAATAATAATTCTGTAATTATTCTTCAAGATTCAATGCCTTCTGAAAACCATACTGCAGATCATCCTCCTAAGATACCTTTTGAAGTCAATGAGTCTAAGTAAAGTCCTTCTATCAAAGACTGCCTTTCAGATCAGTTTGTTTATTCTGATTTGTTGTATATACCACATCTTTAGCTTAGAGCGAGAACATGAATGGAAATAAACAGTGACACATTTGCAATAAGATTTCTGTGGCAAAGCCCTTTACTTAGATATTGTGGTTTCAATGCAACCACAATGCAATGACAAACTTCTTTTGGAAAAGACAGCTCTAATAGTGATGTTAAAATTATAGCTCCATGGAAAAAAAAATAAAATAAAAAGCATTCAAGATACAATATCTATTGTATGTCTGGATGTGGCTGTATTACAAATAAAATAATTCCTATTATTCATGAGTTGATTTACACTTTTTATCTCTCCATAACATGCAGCATTTATTTACTCTTACATTTTGAGGCATTAGAGTTTCCGCTGACATGGGTATTTTCTCAAAATAGTACATTATGGCAGTCCTCTGCTAGACATTTAAGCCATGTGTATGTTTATTTTTTAATTTCTTTCTTGAACTTTCTAACTGTGAGCAGACTGGGAAAGTGGAGTCATGATGACTGAGAGTTTGCTTTTTAAAAAAAAAAAAGAGGAAAAATGTAGACATTTGATGTAACTTTGAAAAACTCACAGCCTCCTACCTTGAAAACAAACATTTCCCGGCGAAGAATAGCCAGAGTGTTGAAGTTCCCATCACAGATGTTAGGCTTGGCTCCAGGATAGGAAGGTTTGTCACCAGCGGGTGTCCGGGGAGGCTTAGGTTGCCTGTCATTCTTCCGCGGGTCTGCTGGAGGGATTGAACGATGTGGGGGCACTGTCGGCAGAGGTCTTGTTGGTGGTGGGATCCTGTCTGGCGGACCTTTAAAAATATAGCAGCAGGATGTAATTTACATGCCCACCAGTGGCAGTGAAAGAAGAAATACACAACAAAAACCCGCTGTAAGCAGCGCAAATCCCACAGTGGAAGGGGAACGGAAAAGTGACCAAACATATCTTTCCCCTGTTGCTAAAGGGTATAACGAATGACTACCGTAAAACCAAGGCAGGAATTAAGAAAATAATTACTTTTCGCTATCCAGAATCTTCCTTCCTTATTGGAACAACATTCCAATAAAACCTACAAAGGATGCATAGTCCACCATCACAGAGTACAGAATCATTGTCTATTGTACAAAACAAAGGAAAAATAATCACAAAGTGTTCCTAATAAGATCATCAGCAGTCAATGAATGTTCAGCCCATATTTTTAAATTGCACTCATCAATTCACATATGCATATATGGAGCATTCCTGGTATTTCCTACTGACCTAATTTGTAGCCAAACAATGTAATGTGCATTAGTGACAGGACATTGCCAGCTTTCCCAATGACCTTTGCTATGTATAGGAGCTGTCTTCATCTATGTAAACAAAAAACATAATTCATATGTTTTTTTCAAATTTTAATTTTTGTTTTCCAGTGAGTGTAACAAAGCTAGATACTTGGTAATTAAATAAATTGTTCTGAGGATGGATAGATTTAAAAAAAACTAACATCAAAAAATAAAACTCTGTACAGTGGTTTTAAAATATTTTACTTATTTCAAATACATTTTCCTGTCATAACATACAGAGTTTGATGACAGGTGAAATAACTACCCCACTCGTATTTTCTCTACCTGAAAGTCTAAAGGCAAACCTAGACAGATGCTGTCCATAACCCTAACGGAATACTGAATGACTTGCAATGGGCATTCTGAAAATGCCTTTCCCTTTCTATACATATTACCACATTTACTTATATTTTCAATGAACAAAAAATATATGAAGTTTCAGTTGGATCAGTAAGATGAGCACTTTAATTCTGTTCATTTAATTTTTTTCATCTACTTAGGCTTTTCTCCAAATCATTTAAATATATAATCAATTCTGACTTTAAAAAATAAATTTTGTTTGCATAACCAACTTCAGAAAGACTTTTGAATAGTAACACAACTCTAAAACTGCATAAATGGCTTTCGAATTTCTGATACTTTTTTTAAAAAGTGTACTTTTTAAAGAACAAGATGGACTATGCAAGGAAATTATAAACTTACCAAACGGTTGTTATACAATTTAATAAGACATTTATTTCATTCACAATTTTAAGGATTGTGATATTTATAATTTACAGTTAATAATGGTGCTTCAAGGAATACTACAAACCAAAGTAATTATTTTAATAGGTTTGACATTTTTATTGAAGCATATGATTCCAGATCACCTCTTGATTTTTAAGGGAGCAAAGGAACCAGCTTGCAGTAGCTCATGTTGGAGTTTTTAACCCCTAACCAAAGTTTTCATATGCCATTTGGTGGTGATGTCAGGGGTAACACATTTCTCTTAATGTATAGCCCACAGCTGTTAGAGCTTAGCAGTTAGTTTTCAGCAAAGTATTCTTGTCTAGCCCTTAAGTCTAGACTATGGACTTATGAGGTCATGAGAAATAACCTTCCTTCCAGCTAATCACACAGGAAAAAAACCAAATCAAGCAAACAAAACTTGAACCGCCAATCATCTTGAAATTGCTATTTATGCTCTATGAAAATATTTATCAGTGCTTGTTAATATAATATTTTAAAAAGCTTGTTAATATAAAACAACATAGAGGCTGCAGATTTCTAGTTAGTAGTACAGTAATTCTACACGACCATAGTTGCCCTTTCTAGTAGTAAAGATAAATGAGGAATGGCCCTGATAATGTTCAATATAAACCTCGCAAACCTTTAAACTGAAAATTATTATAACTACAAAACTGAATCCAATACAGAATTAACTGGGGAATATTAAGCAAGGCAATTCCAAACCATATGTGCTTGATACATAGCATTAACATACAGATACAACAGATTTTTCACTGTAGGAGAGAAAAAGAAAATATACTTTAAAAAAAAACCCAAAAAGACTTTAACACAGAGCAATAGAATCAAATTCTTTAAAACCAACTAAAAAATAATTTCTTTAGAAATGTTAGTAACAGTAATATGGGAGTTAATGTTATATTTAACCCATAATCAGACCAAAGTCATTGTTTTGGCTTTTTTTTTTAAATTTTCAATTACCTTGCCTTGTCAAATTGAATAAAATACATGTAGAACTTATTTACATCATGTGTCTTCTACATCAGGCCACAAAAAAACCTAAACAAATGTATTTTAAAGAAGTAGGCCTCTTTCCCCTAGGTAGCTCAAAATCTTGGGCTGGTAATATTCTTTTGAGATCAATTTGTTATATTTATCACAAGAAAGGGTTTTCCTAGTACCACAGATTTTGCACACCCAGGGAACTGTTTAGCATTATAACTGATAAACTGAGAAGTAATCAATGCATCCACTTACACAAGCTCAGACTACTGTGGAAGTAAGCTCGTTATGGTCAAAGGCCTGCATTTCTTAATATTTTCATAGTTTGGGATCCTTTAGCAGATATTTTCTTTATAGTTTGGTTGTTTTTTTTGTTTTTTTTTTTTTTTTAAACACTTAACATTACTATTCCAGCTGAGTGCAAATTTGATGCAGGCTATGAACAATGAGAAACAAAGAAAAAAGATCTTCATCAAAATCTTTGACCTACTCACAAGAAGGTGTCTGGCATAACAACTGGCAGAGTCTACAACTAACAAACCCTTTTGGAGAGATGGTATGGACAGGAGGACTTCAAATGTATTCTAAAGCAGAAAAACTTATGTTGCTTATTTAGAGTATCACATACCATATATCTTCTGGATGCCCTGTAAATCATCATTAGGTAGTTTGAAGTTGTCAGTTTCCATATACTGGTAAAATGGAGCCATGATTGCAGTGGGATCATTAGAGTGTTCCAAGCCCAGTGCATGTCCCAGTTCATGCACTGCAACTAGAAACAGATCATTTCCTATGAAGAGAAGAAAGAGGAAAAAAGACCTTTGAAAACATAAGCATAGTAACAGAAATAGGACAAGTAGAGGATTCTGGACTTGAAAGAAATTTTCACTGAATTTGAATTTTACCACATAATGCTTAATAATGAATCATAAGGATAATGTGGTAGCAAAGGCAGCTTTCACTTTTCTTAAACAAGGAAATTATTACTGTGACATATAATACATGATAGTCTTACAGACACCTTAAGTGTAATCCTCTTTAACTGATGCACATGGCTAGCGTAGGGTTCATAACTCATGTCTAGGCTCGTGTGCAATTCCTGACTTGAAGTTGATGTTGTAGTGAACCCGACTGAAAATGCTTGTATCAAGACATAGTTCCAAAAGGAAAATATCTTTGTGTGTGGTAAACTTCACAAACTGAGGACTACCTATTTAGGACAAATCCCACAGGGAACTTAGTCATCTAAGCACTTGTAATCAGATCTCTGCTGGTTATTTGTAGATGCTGTCCATTTATGAATCACCATAACTGAAATCTCAGTGAGGAAAACATGGGTGTTGTGCTATCTTTCACAAAATAGGATGTCCTTATTTATTTTATTGTGCAATTCCCTTATAAATGAAGTTGTTTATTTATTAGAACTTTTTTTTGTAGGTCTAAAAGCTAAAATGACACACTTGTGTTATAAGCTGACTTAGCTGTTTTGTTATTCCCTTCTAAAAATATATATTTTCATTTTTTATTACAGGAGATTAGGCACAACTGAAAGTCTTTTCAATATAATTATGCCACTCCATGAAGCAAACACAAATCAAAGCCAATGGGATTATTTCTATAAAAATTTCAGAGCTGTACCTCTATGGTATTAATTTTGTCTATTTTTATTAATCTAGACTTAGTTCAGCAAATCTTTCTATGACTCTTTTGTATGGATTCTGTCTTCAGACTTTGGAAAAATGTTTTACATCAGGAGAAGGATTCTGGTCACTTGGAGAGGGTCAGATGCAGGATATTGCTCATTTTCACCACCTAGGGATCAGAAAAATTATCCTTTGAAAGTGTATTCCTGTCCCACTGACAAGAGAAGTTTTGTAGATCAGCAGCTTATGCTAAACATCTAACTTTCAGATTGCTGGACCCAAGTGAAAAAGGTGCCACCTACAGTAGGTAGTTTATTGTTGAAAGAGCAGTATAAATAACAAAATACCTATACTGTGGGCTAATAATCATATATCGGAACAAGAAAATGCTCAACATTAACTGCTATCCTATATTCTGTAAATTCTTGGGAGGGTAGACAGTTAATATCTACTGCTAGCACTTGATCTGGAATTCTAAATACTATTATAATAATAATAGTAATAATATTAAAAAGTTGAATTTAGCAAAAAACCCACCATATATGTACTTTGTCACAGAACTTTGAGAACATAGTTGACAGCATTTCAATTTTTCAAGTATCTTCTCTTGTTGACACAAAGAAATAAACTTCCTCCCAAGTATATGTGAAAGCAGAAACACTTGGCAGTAGATGTCTTCATGATGTATGGAGCCATGCTGATGTTTGTAAAATCAATGTTTGATTGAAAGCGTGGAAACAGTTACAGCTAAAACTATGTGCTTAGTTGACAGAGTCTTTTCATGTCTTTCTGATTCTTAATCCAGAAATATAAAAACTAAATGTTCTTGCTCTTCTATTCAGTATAACTGTGCAGAAAAATCATGACTTTCAAAAATTAATGTGACATAATGTGCCTTCAGAAATGAGAAGAGTTTATCCTGTCATTTATAATTATGTGGTTTCCAGATGAAAGATTTTCATCACAATATTTTTTCTTGGATGCAGTTCTTTTTATAGGAAAGCAGATTCACAATGTGCTGATGTAACATGTTTGATAAGCTTGACTGTCCCAGTGAAAAATGCTTTTGATACTTGAATCTGCCCTTCTATGTGCAGTCAGTGCTGATCTTGACATTATCTCATATGAATAATCCACAGTTTCTGTAGCTAACCTCAGCATTGGAAGTGATGCACAGAAGCAACTCTGTAAAGGTTTTGATGCTGCACTCATAATGGAATTATTAATATATTTTTTTAAAATTATAGTCTTATGATGGAAAGATATGAAAGAAGATGTTACTGTAATATAATTATTGTACTGCAACATGTCTCACATTATTTTTCAATTCTTTTATGCAACTTATGAAACTTCAAGTTCAAAGACAGGTTTATTAGAATGAAATATTTCTTTGTCTGGCATTAACTCACATATTTAAGTTGGAACTTTATTTTGCTTTTCAGACTTTGTGAAAGGCAAATTTGTCTCCTATACCTCTGTTTCCTACATCATAATTAAGAATATTAACTAGTCTAGGTCCTATATTAATAATTGTACTAATAATTTGGCCACAATATTTACTGAATTGCTTTCAAATAGTTTTAAATTAATAGTATTTTATTCTACAACTGTTATTAGGGTGGTCAGTATCAGTAGACCAAAGAGTGTTTTACACGTGGTATTCAACCTCTACTGTCTGAGGTAGGAGGTCTGGGAAGTGAACTTGTTACAATTTCTAAAATTTCAAGAAACCACAGTCAATAAATAGTTTTGGAATAGCCTACTGCTTCTCTCTATTTGTGCCAGTTATGCAATGTATGAAGAATCAATACATCCACATAGTAATGGTGAAATAAATAAAAAACACTGTCATCTACTGGCATATCTTCCTTCTGGGATCACAGATAATGAGCACTGGTAGAGCACTTCCAAAGTAATACTTCTAAGTGACAATAGGACTATGTCAGGGAACAGATATTATGCAGGGGGTGGCTCGCTCTTAGTATGTCTTTCTCCCTTTGTCTCTTGGATAGGAGTGATCGTGTAAAAAAAGAAAAAAATATCTATTCAGTATCTGACTGCCACTCTGGATTTAGTCAAAGCCTTTTCCTTTTTCCAAAAAGAAAAAAAGGCAAAAATACCATGAAAAGTAATTTCCACCTCCTGCAATGCAACTTGCAGCCATCAGGGGAGCTATTAAATGTGGTAAAGACAGAGCAGCCCTTGGAGCAAATGGATAGGGAGAAGGTCACAGGAAAGACTTGGGAGAATAATATTCTTGCCTGAGGTGACAGTGATTTAACAGGGAACATATTTTCTACTTTTAGTCAAACAGCCCCATTATTCATAACAATTTCCATCAGGAGTCATGATTGTCTCCAGGGCATCCTGAATTTAAACTGACCCAAATAACTTAGTGCAGTTGAAACTGAGGTTTAAACCAGTTCAAGATGTGTTGTCTGAGACCAATGCAGGTAAGACTTACTACTGTCTTGGTTTCCATCCTTTTTTCTTTGCATACAATTAGACTTCTCCAATTAGGCAACAATTATGCAGTCCCTCTTTGCTTTCAGGAGCAGACTTGCCTTGAGTATCTCAACATTACTCTACTGAGTGCAGAAGGTTAACCCTTGACTGCTCACTCTTCCTCTCCAGGCTACACAGAAGTGTACTTGTGACTACAAGGTCAACAGCAGGCCAACTTCAGTTCCTTGGCCAGTGGTCAGAGTAAGACGAAGGAGCATAAAGACAAGTGAGCACTCATACCAACTCAGGCTAGCTTTGTTGTCATACTGACATTGGATATAATTTTGTAAACATTTTCCATTTCTACCACTGAAGGAGAGAGCCCCAAATTATTTAGTGTTTTAGTATACATTACCTGAGGAGAAATATATATTTCAGACCACTTGGCAAAATGAAGCACCACTGCAAAAGTTTAACAAGTCATTAGTAACAGAGTTAAACTGCATATGACTATGATGACTTAAACTGAAAGTTGACACTGAAGGATATACGATGATGAATATTCATTGTGATAGTCTCAGTTACACCCTGTTGGATTTATCTATAAAGCACTAGATAAATACTGAAAAATATATTTCACAAGTCCAAAACTTTTGCATCTCTTTTCTTGTTTTCTCCATTGGCATGAAGATTGGGAATAGAATAGATATAAGCTCAAAAATATTGTGATTGTTTTTCTTATTTTATCTCAAGTTTTATTTCACAAAGAAAAAAATATATAATGTGCATAAAGAACTAAGACAAAATGATTATTTTTATACTGACATTTTTCTCCAAGGCTATAAACTATTTTAGGCACTAAATCTGCCTGATTTTACAATCACTGCCCAAACTCCATAATATAAATATGTATTAATATATCAAATATTCAACATCCAGCACTGTGGAGCATGGTGCATGGGGAAGCCTTTCCCTGTAGCTAATATATGTGTTATTTTTCATGTCTACAGATAAACAAAGCTAATATGTTTGTCCACAGCAAGCTATTAAGAAACCCTAGTTCTGAAGAAATTAATTCCTGTTTTAAACGGTATGCAAGCTTGATTTATAAAAGCAATACCCTAGTGACATAGGAAGCGATTAATCACTTGGCCATCTTTTTAATGCAGCACTAAATGACACCTCAGGGCATGTCACCTGATTCTTCTCCTTGGCACAAGACAGTAACTGGTACAATACATTGTGAGCTCAAGAGTTGTGCATCATTTAACCACCACATGACCTCAATTTTGAAGACTTTCCCATTCAGAGAAAAACAAAAGATCTAGATACTGAATTTCAAATTGTAAACAAACTAGAAAACCACAAAAAATAATTTATAAATTATTATACAAAAAATATTTATACACTGTTTCTTCCAAACATTACTCTACCTCACTTTTCATGTGATGCTGAGAGATGATTTCAGATTAAATCCATATAAATCCAAAATTAAAATCTGTACAAACAAGACTTTGATTACAGTACCATTATCAACAAGACAGTACCTCAAAGTCAAGCTGACAGTTCAGCAGAAAATATTACATATACACCACTCAGGAATTTGTGTTCAAAGTATTTAAAATTTGCATTTTCATTATTCTGTTCACTTGTACCACTGACTCATCAAACCAATGCTGTCAATCCCAACCTACTGTAAACT